AAAAAAAAAAAAAGTAAAATGAATGGTGATCATTTGCAGTCTGTTACTTGATAAAGGAAAGGGAGAAGCACGTTCAGACTTATTCTGCAGAAAGGAGTTAGTAAAAGGAGTAATGATTGGAAACAGTCTAGGGTGTCCCCTAAATTATGGGAAACCTTTTCAGTGTGAAGTAGTAAAGAAAGGAAGTTGTCGATGAGATACCCCTGTACGTACAAAACATTGCATCATAGGTATAGCCCAAATGTTCTAATAGTCACACCAGAGAGTTGTTACAAAAATATTGCAGATTCCTTTAAAAGGAGTTCTAGAAAAGAAAATCTTCTGATTATGAAGACATTCAAGGTATTTTGCTAATTGGGATAATACAGGAATGGCCTTTATTCTTCTCTTTTCTAAAAATGTCATACTTCCTATTTTTGCATTGAGCCTCATTTGTTAGGGAGGGGAATCTTTGAAGCCGACTTTGGATACAGTCCTCGAAGGATGGGGAGAGTTTTATAAAGAGCCAAGAGAGAAGAAGGGGATTCCTTTGGGGAAGAAGCAGTTAAAACCTGTTAAAACCCTAGTAGCCACAGGTGCCAAGCTTTGATCTTTATGAAGCAGTTCACACCTGTCTCTTGTTTAATTGCAGGAGGGAACCTGTATGACAAAATCCTTCGTCAGAAGGACAAGTTGTTTGAGGAAGAGGTAATTCATGCTTCTGTGGAAGGAAGCTAGAATTGTATTGTGATTCTTGCATTCTAGGCCTGTATTTACTCTTCCAACAATGAAGAGTGTTTTTTTCCTTTTGTTCAGACTCCTTCCAGGTTCTGGTTGCTATTCCTGAGAAAGGAAACCTCTAACAAGGAAGCTGTCTATAGCTGCTTCCTAAACGCTTTATCTCCACATCATGATTCTCTATGGGCTTTCTTTCCCGGTTCTATTACTGCAGACTGGTATGCCCAGTTTTCTATACCTTTGCATTCTTGGATTTCTTTCCACAACTCTGCTTCACCATATTATATTTTATAATGGCATTGGAACTGTTTTATGATGATCTGCTTTTTATTTTTACCCCTACCACTTTTCTTTGCCTACTCAACCTCCAAGCAAGAGATGTCAGGTCATGTTGAATCATAACCTCTGGTTGCAGCTTCCTTTGTTTTGTTTGTTTTAGTGTGTGTCTTTATTTAAGTGGAATTTTTTTGTTTCCAGTCCAAATATAATTTTTTTTTCTGTAGATGGTGGTGTGGTACCTATTTCAGATTGTTTCAGCAGTGAGCTGTATCCATAAAGCTGGAATCCTTCATAGGTAATGAGTGAAAGAATATGGGATGGAGGGGCACCTGGGTGGCTCAGTCGGTTAAGAGTCCAACTCTTGATTTCAGCTCAGGTCTTGATCTCAGGGTCATGAGTTCAAGCCCCGCGTTGGGCTCCACACTGGGTATGTGTGGGGCCTACTTAAAAAAAAAAAACAGGATGGATTCCTCCCCACCAATCTAAACCCCACCTTGGGTACCTCCCATCAGCACTACTATTTTTTTGGTTAAGCAGTTGAGGCTTTTCCGTTAATATAATTTAGGAAGGAAAGAGTGAGTAATGAGGGGTGTTACCTTCACTTCCTGAAGTTAAATTATGTTTGTGATCTAGGAAGAGTCTCAGTAACCAAGTACTGCTCAGTTACTTCTTTGAGAGATATTTTAAGAGTTCAATTCATTAATTCATCAGTAAACTCTAGAAGCCACTAAGAGAAGTGGTATTAGATTGGTTGCAATTCATGGTAAATGTTTTCTATGAGCAATAATAATTGGCAAGTATTTTTAATTTTATAATTAGTCTTGATTTAGATAAAAAGCTATTTTGTACAGTTTTACCAGATCTTTGGGGAAAAATAGCTTTCTGTATAGGAAAGAGCTATTAGAACATTTCCACATTATACCCTTCTTAAGTGAGTCATTGATAATTGCTAGAGATTAATGTTGATTCACCAGTATTTCTTTTTTTGTTGGTTTGTTTATTCAGTTAACATGTGCTTCTCAATAGCTATTGAATGGCTACTACAGTTGCATATTATTTTCTTTTCAAAAGTTACAAAGAGTATTCTGTTTTTTTCACATCTTAAGGAAGCCAGAGTGTGAACCAGGCACAGTTTATTTGTTATATAGGACCAGCTCATCTTTAGAAAAATAGCTAGTGGTTTATTTAGGTGAGCTACACAGCCTAGTCATGCTGCTGCTGGGATGTGCAGCCCCTTCCCTTGCCTTAACAGATTTGAAGCTTTAACACCAACTAATTCAAGGCATAAATGGTAATTGAAGAGGCATTGCACCTTACAGGAATTACAGGATTACGTGGGGCTGTGTTTTCCATCTGGCCCTCTCAATTTTTCCTGACATCATCAGTGGTACAGGAGACATCCTTGTGCTATGAAGCCCTGGAGAACGAAGTTAATTCTCTGCCTCCACTCCCCCAAATCCCCTTTTCAATGTTAAAGTACATGGGAAAGTGGTGACCACTGTTTGGGATCCCATAACAGTGTGAGCAGTGGTAACCACTCATTTTATTCTGTACTAATTCTGGTTGGAGTTGGGGATGAAACAAAACAATTGTCTATAGGAGTTTAATACACAGTATCTTTTTTTCCAGAGATATAAAGACATTAAATATTTTTCTGACCAAGGCAAACCTAATAAAACTTGGAGATTATGGCCTAGCCAAGAAACTTAATTCTGAGTATTCCATGGCTGAGACGGTAAGTATGTGTTGCCCTTGTGGTAATTTTTTTTTCTTTTCTTTTCCAGTACTATGAGATATAACCGTACACCACTCCACATCTCACACACTTTTCTCAGTAGTCCTTGCAAGTTCTCCGTACTTATAAAGCAAGTCTTCAGGAGTCTTTTTCCTGTGCTTACTAATAGGCATTTACATGCTCAGATGTTCTTTCAGGAGTCATTGTCCTCATCACAGCTCTGACCTCACAGCCCTTTCCAACACTTTCTAAAAACAGGAAAAGGGGGCGCCTGGGTGACTCAGTCAGTTGGGTGTCTGCCTTCAGATCGGGTCCTGGTCTGGGACCGAGTCCCACGTTGGGCTCCCTGCTCAGTGGGGGGTCTGCTTCTCCCTCTCCCTCTGCCCCTCCTCCCTGCATGTTCTCTCTCGCTCTCTTGCTCTCTCTCTCACTCTCAGTCTCCCTCAAATAAATAAATAAAAATCTTTATTAAAAAAATAATAAAAAAAATAAAAACAGGAAAATGCTCTACCATTTTTTCTGGCCTAGGATCTTTAGTAGATTTCAATTTATCTCTTATTTAGTGTTTGAGCTTAGGATGTTGGACATCTCTTTTTGTGTTTCCTCTGAATTTTTCTGGTTCAGAAGCCCTGTACTACAAATAAAGGCTGAGGCGCAGAGAACAATCTGGTGTTAATATCATACGCCATCCCAACTGCAGGGCTCCCTTCTCACCTGATCCTAAGAAAGACCATTGGTAAAGAGTAGACATAAGTTGATCTTTAAGGATAGTGATTTCATCCTTTTAGGAATTATAAAACCCAATTATTACTCTTCTGGTTTCACAGTGCTCTGTCCTTGAAAGAACTTGAAAATGTAAGTTAATAAAATTAATTTTGTCCCGTTGGTATTTTTTTTTTTTTTTAAAGATTTTATTTATTCATTTCAAACACAGAGATACTGAGAGAGCTTGATTGGGAGAAGCAGGCTCCCCACTGAGCCAGGGGCCTGATGTGGGGCTCGATCCCAGGACCCTGGGATCATGACCTGAGCCAAAGGCAGACGCTTAACCATCTGAGCCACCCAGGCGCCCCCCGTTGGTATTTTTTGATAATGTCAAGATATGCCTGTAAGCAATTTAGAGACATGCTAATAGCCAGGGTTGGGAGTCTGCTTCAGGAACTCAGTCTGCTTGTATGATGGTGCCATATTGAGCTTCTGAGGAAGCAATCATGTCCTTATATGGATTTTTCTCATCAAGTATAATCTGGTAAAACCAAGACTTGACTTTTTTTAGCCAGTTAAATGTAAAGAAGGAATGATATGAAGATTTATAAATGCCATACAATCCATCTAAAAATTGCTTTGCTTTGCTGGTTAAAGATGGCTATCAGTTTTATTAGAACTTCTAGGGTACTCATCATTTCATCTGGGGAGAGGCACAACCTCCCTTCAGGACATTTTGATTTCCAAACTCATTCCTCAAGGCAGAAGATCTTTTTCAAATTTGAAAGAAATTTCCCTAGTTGTGTTACTATTACAGAGGTCAAACAGCCATTTACAGAGTTTCAGTACTATGCACTTCGGTTAGAACTTTTGACCCCTTTATTTACTTATCATCTCCTCCCTGCCAGTTTTTTTGTTTTTGTTTTTTTTTTTTCCATTGGTGAACTTTTACTAAGTATGTCTTTATCTGTATGAAGTCTTCAGTGGGCCTAAAGCCTTTGTGATCTAGGAATCACTGTTGTGCCTCTCCAAATTACCACAGTGCCTTTATCCTTTATAATTCATCCAAGAAATTTGATAAGATAAAAGATTTCTCCCCATCATCTCATAAAAAGCTTTTGGGATATGCTGATGAATATTTTATAGTTGTTATCACTAGTTTGTGAGAAATTTACTTCAGTTGTTGAAATATTAATAGAGTTACCTCAGAAATGAAGTTATTCTTTGATTGTTTTCTTTGTTGTTCAGCTTGTGGGAACTCCATATTACATGTCTCCAGAGCTCTGCCAAGGAGTAAAATACAATTTCAAGTCTGATATCTGGGCAGTAGGCTGTGTCATTTTTGAACTGCTTACATTAAAGAGAACATTTGATGCTACAGTAAGTTGTATTATCCCCGCCTTGTCCTTGCAAATGGTATGACTTGGTTGAGAAAATCAAATTCCTTTATCCCTGAGTTTCTGATTTCTTCATCAGAAATCAGCTGTAGGCAAAAAAACAAAGTATTCAGGCAGTGGCTTGGTATAGCATATTATTAAAATGGTGTATACCAGATTTATCTTTAACTTCAGTTCCCCACTGAAATAATCTTACTCAAGTGCTTTGAGCATTGTACTTGAGTTTATTGACTATAATTTTGAAATTGGCTCTAGGATCCACTATGTGATGCTGCTGTTTGGATAAGCCATTTCATTTCTTATGCTTAGGCTACATCATTTTTTTTTTTTTTAAAAGCTAAGGCAAATTATGTAATACTCATTAAAGTGTTTTGATCTTTTTATAAAAAATTATACACTGACTCTTATATTAGAGGTTGTTATTGTAATGGACACCAAATCCTTTTAGTGTTTTTTCTTTTCTTCCTAAGTAAAGCCCAGTGTAAAGCAGTGCTTCTCCAACTTTCATACACATAGGAAGTCACCTGGGCACCTTGTTAAAATGCAGACTCTTTTTTTTAGTAAGTCTGGAGTGGGTCCCAATATTCTGCATTTCTAACAAGCTCCCACATGATACTGATGCTGCTAGTCCATGGACCAATCTGAGTAGCAAAAGTGGATTCACATCCAATGTCCTCTACAAACCATGTGTGAGAACTTAAGCAAATCGTTTCAGAATTTCTTTGGTCCTCTATTTCATTATCTATAACAAGGAAAAAATATATGTCTTTCTCATAGAGATGCTGTGATAATGTATATGAAAAATCCAAATGTAAGATAATGCAAATTCATTGGCCTTTCATGAGACCTATTTAGAGTTTTCCTAATTCTGAAGTTTATTCTGGTATATCATCTAACTGTTCTAAGTAATATAGTGGAAGGAAAATGAGTTTTAGAGTCAAGACAGACTTTGGTTGGAGTTATGACGCCATTTTTTACTATCTGTGTAGCTTGGGCAAGTTACTTTACATCTCTGCATTGGTAATCATAATAACCTCCTTACAGGGGGTTTGCAAGGGTGCCTACCTAGCACACTGTGGTCTCTCAATAAAGGAGTTAATGGTATTATTATTATAATATTATTGACATTGTCATCTTATTATTTACTGCCTTATCTGTTGCAGCAGAGTATCCCCTGAATAACCATTTTTAGGGTATATAAATTAGGAGGCAGATTACTTGGCAAAGGAGGTACTTAAAGCCGGGAAGCATGGCTAATCTTGCTTGCCTTTTTTGGGGAGATTCAGTTGAAGGATCAGATTATAATGTACTCTGAGTATTATACTATTGGCCCCATAGTCATATCTCCTTGTTGGCCATTTGGCTTCATTCCTTCTGATAGCAACAGTGTATCCCTAGCCATTTCTTGCTGATGCATACTAATAGTTATAAAAGAAATCAGACCTAATGCAGAACTATTGCCATTTCTTTAAAAAAAAAATAGACATTTCAGAGCCCCTACTAGTAGGTTGTAATCTTTATATAACCAAGAATAATCATTTTGTCATAGAATCCACTCAACTTGTGTGTGAAGATTGTACAAGGAATCCGGGCCATGGAAGTTGATTCTAGCCAGTACTCTTTGGAACTGATTCAAATGGTCCACGCGTGTCTTGACCAGGTAAGTGTGACTTACATGTTGATTTCAGTTTAGGGTTTTCCCTTCTCACCATAGTATTTGGAGTATGGTATGCATAGATGAACCTGCACAAAGCCACATTCACTTCCCCAGGGTAGGATATATTTGTGGCTGGCTATACCCAGAAGAATAGGCATTGGCAATTAATGATAGTTGTATGTTTCAGGCAACAAATCCTTAAGCTTTATTCTGCTTTATTCTTACTTTATCAATTTGTGAAATGATTTTACCTTCTAAATTGTGCTCCATTTTTTATGATCAAGATTAATTTTTGTAGATTGATTTTACAAAATTATAGTCAGAGATAATTTAGAGTTCCTAGTGTGCAGAATATATATAGTTCTGTATATATATTCTGTGTCGCTCTAGATTGGTATTATTCAAAATATGGTTCTTGAACCATAGGTATTAGAAATGCTAGGGGATGGAAGAGTTTTACAAATAAAAAATGAAGATTCCTGAGTCCCACCCCGGACCAACTGGATTAGAATCTCTGTAGATAAAGCCCAGAAATCTTTATAACAAGCACTCTGAGAGATTCTTTTGTGCCATATATATTGCAGTTTGAGAAGCAGTGCCGTAACTGAACAAATAAGGAAGGTGCATTGTCATTCGTGTACACGTGTTATTGACAGTGAGATGATATGCATCAAACATGGAATGTGACATAAGAAATTGTTTTTTGAAACAAAAGGATAATATACAGTGATCTTTGAGTAATTAGCATACAGCCTTTTAAGAGGAAGTAAAATGCCTCTTTAGACCCCATTTTGCCCTTTTCCTTTAAATTAAAACTAACCCAGTTTGTACTTTTTAGGATCCTGAGCAGAGACCCACAGCAGATGAACTTTTGGATCGCCCCCTTCTCAAGAAACGCAGGAGGTAAAGTACAGAGAAGTCCATTCTTTGTCTTTCTATGGTTGGTTGACTGTTAAAGGCCTGATGAGAGGACCACAAGAGAGGGCAGTGTTTCCTGACTTGGCTGCTCTGGTACCATTTTCTACCAGCATTTCTGCTTTTGCTGCTGGGGAGGAGCTCCTGACTCTCATCTCCTTAGCCTGTGCTGTTTTGTTCTGAATTTATACTGATGAGAGCCTAGAGCTCTGCACTCCCCTCGTCTGTGAGTTTTAATCTGAGTTAGGGCATTAGAGTGTAGTAATTAAGAGAGGAGGGCTCTGGACTCAGACATCCTTAGGTTTGTATGAGTTCTAGTATTTTCTTTGTCAAGTTATTCAACATCTCTGGTCTTTAGTTTTCTCCTCTATAAAGTCAGGTAGGGTAAGGATTAAAGGAGGGAATGCATATAAAGTGCTCAGCCCAGGGCTTGGCACAAGAATTATCAGATAGTAGTATGGATTTAAAGTGGGCCTTTGTTTCAGTGCATTCGTTTAGATGGTATGTTGCAGTTGGAGGAGTCTACTTCAGAAATCAAGGTTGCATGATTGTTGACATGTTACTTCCTGAGATTTTTTCTGTGTTAGAGGTCTCTAGAGATAGGAGGGAGGTCCTTTATCCCTCACGTCCTATAGGAGGCTTCAAACCCAAACTTAAAGGAAGATGTATTCTTTGTTATTCTTTTTTTTAAGTAATCTCTACACGCATTATGGGGTTCGAACTCATGACCCTGCGATCAAGAGTGGCATTCTCGTCTGACTGAGCCAGCCAGGCACCCCTTTATTATTCTCATCCTGTTATACTGTTTTTGTCTTACTGTCCTTCTTCCTCCCCTACCAGTTCTTTGTTTCTGTATCTTCCCAGTAGTCAAAACTTTGCTCTGCTCTTTTTTCAAGTCTTGCCCTTAGATACATTAAGTATATATTTAATTCCATAATCTTTGTCATTTGGTCAGTACCTTTATTTTGTTGTGTCATTTAATTAATCTTTTCTGGTTCTCCTCCAGTTAAGGTCTAGCCAATGTTTTAATGTCTAGAATTACATGTAATATTCCAGAAACAGCACCGTGACCTTTCACTTATGTTCGGCACATATTCCAGCAGTATCGCCCTTTGCTACTGGTTAAACATATTTAACTTTATCTGGCTTATTTCCCAACAGTATAATCACTATTTTAATTTCTTTTCAAATATTTCCATTGATAATTTTTAATTGCAATTTTTATCGAGATAATTATAGATTTATACACAGTATTTCATTAGAACTTTGTACTTGATGAAAAAACATAAGACAGAGAGCTTTCTAGATAAAACACAGACATAGCAAACTGTGGAAAATATTCAGGAAACAGTAAGTCCTACTTCACTAGATTAGTGGTTCTAGACCTGGGGCTCTCGATAGCAACACCTCAAGAGCTTTCAAAAACTACTGATGCCTAAGTACCACCCCAGGAATTCAGCTATAAGTGTTTTAGACAGAACGAGAACCCTGGGCTAGAATATGGGGAGTAAGTAGAAGGAAAGAAGGCTGGAAAGATAGGTAGGTATCTTGAATGCTAGACAAAGGGGTCTGTGCTTAATTCAAGCTATAGTACAGTAGTGGATGTTTATGAGAGGGCAGTTCATGTGATAAGGGGCATGCCTAAGGAAGACTCATTTAGCAAACTAATCTCAGTGTTAAATCAGTATAGGACTGGTAAAGTGGATTGGCAGTGTGGTGAGTCAGACCTATTAGGCAGTGCTACTGCAGTCTAGGTGGGAAGCAGAGCTGCCCAGAGCTAACGTGGCAAGCCTGGAGAGGAGAGGTGAATGTAAAGGGCGTTGTATAGGTAGAATCTGTAGGACTCAAATATTGAAGAGAGGGAGACAGCTGAGTCAAAGGTGACTGAGGTTTTAAGCTTAGTCCACTGGGAGAATGGGAAGTGCCAGTTGCAGAAATAGGAGAGTCAGAAAGAAAAGCTGTATGGGAGAAAGAGAATGAGCTGAGGTTTAGAGATGGTGAGTTGGGAAGTCAGTGGGCAGCCTGGATGGAGAGATCAGCAGGTATTTAAAATGTGCAACAGAGGTTCTCTAGGTTCTCTGTTCCAGCTTGGAATGTTTCTTGGCGAAAGAAAACAAATGGCCCCAAACTGCTGGCCCCGTCATATCTAATGATTTGTCCAAAGCCAAGCCCGTAAACTGTTTGAATAGTATTGAGTTACTTTTCCAAAAGTATTGTCATGTTTGAGGAGGCATATGATTTATAGAGGATTAAATCTGTGAAATGTATTAAAGAGACACTGGTACAATGTAGGAACCTATTCCTTCACTCATGTATCTTTGCTTTTCTTTTGGTAGAGAGATGGAGGAAAAAGTCACACTGCTTAATGCACCTACAAAAAGACCAAGGTAATGCCTAGGAGACTCATAAAAAGTGATATCTCTTAAATTACCATCAGGGGGTCTTTCTTTCTTTGGTCCATGCATTGTTTGATCCCAGTAAGTAGCCTTTGGCATCCTTTGAGAAGCCAACATCTTCATAAATGTCAGATAATCATTTCTGAGAAAACAGAAGGCTATAATTTCATCCTCATGCTGAAGTGAACATCATTACCATGATGAATGTTGAGAAGTTGAAAAGTGTAGGTGTTATGGACCAGACTGGAATCTGATCTGGCTGAGCTGTGATGAAGCCTGGAGGCAGGAATTGCAAGGCCTCTATGATAGAGGGTTGAAATAAGTTGTCGAGAAAGAACATACTTTCTCATACCATAATTGGCAGTTCTTCTCTGGGAACAGACTGGAAGCATTTTTCTTTGATATAGTTTTTTATGTTAAATGTGCCTTTTTTCTGGGGGTTGTTGACAGGTCAAGCACTGTGACTGAAGCACCCATTGCTGTGGTAACATCACGAACCAGTGAAGTCTATGTTTGGGGTGGTGGAAAATCCACTCCCCAGAAACTGGATGTCATCAAGAGTGGCTGTAGTGCCCGGCAGGTGTGTGCAGGGAATACTCACTTTGCTGTGGTCACAGTGGAGAAGGAACTGTACACCTGGGTGGTAAGTGAAAGCTAAGTACCTTAGAACAGTGATATAAGCCTAATTGTTTACTGGGCCGAGGCTGTCTAAGTATTTTGTTGGTTGAACGTGTGCTGCGGTCATGGCAGCATGGGGTGAGGGAATGTAAGCTCTTAGGAGAGCAGGGATTTTGTCTGTTTAGTTCACTGAGTATCTTTCCCCAGTACCTGGTACATATTAGGTCTTTTGTAAATGTTTTTTGAATGAATGAATGAAAGAGAGAAAGAAGGAAAGAAAGAATGAAAAGAGCCCGAGGTTTGGACTCGGGAGACTGGACTCTAATTTACAGCTGGGTGATTTCGGAAAGTCACTTAATTACTCTGTTCTATTACCGTGAGTTTCAGAGCAGCTAGTATCTGTGAAATAATTTTATAAACAAATGAAGCAGTGTACCACATAGGAAAATTCTAAGACCTGTATCAGTGATTGAAGATAGCTAGGCATATCTTCAGTAGAATTTTCCTTTGTTCCCTTCTAGATTTCACCCTGTCTCTCAGCTTCTGGAACAAATTGCCTGTATTTGCTATCTCTTTTCTTATCTCCCACTCACTCCTCATTCACCTACAATGCAGCTTCCATCCCTGCCACTTGATTGAAACTACTCTTAATAAAATGACCTATAAATTGTAAACATAAAACAGATACTTTGGGGGCACCTGGGTGGCTCAGTCGATTAAGCGTCTGTCTTCAGCTCAGGTCATGATCGCAGGGTCCTGGGATCAAGCCCCATGTCGGGCTCCCTGTGGGGAATCTGCTTTTCCCTCTCCCTCTGCTCCCCGCCCCCCCCCACCCCCGCTTGTGCACTCTCTCTCTCAAATAAATAAAATATTTTTTAAAACACAGATACTATGTTGTTCTTGCTTTCTTGACCTCCTGGCGGCATTTGATGTAGTTGATCTCTCCCTCCTTGAACCTTTGGCTCCCAATGAGGGCATCTTCTCTTGGCTTTTCTCCTGTCTCTTTGTGCCTTCTCACTTGGTGCTTTTCCTTTACCCGGCCTTGTGTTAGGCTCTCAGTTCTTCTCACTCTTCCTTTTCTTCCTGAGAGAGCTCATTTTTTCCAGTAGTCTCAGATAACGTCTCCACAAGGACAGGCTTTGTCCCCAGTGTGTGACAGAATAGATGCTCAGTTATTGATAGATTGAAAGAATGAATGAAGGATTTGACCTCTGTTATAGAACATTAACTGTTACTTCCTTAAAACCCTGTCCCTTACACAACTAGCCCCTGGGGGGCTGCCACAGATGGAATGAAATTATTGTCCCTTAAAAAACATTTAGGGCGCCTGGGTGGCTCAGTTGGTTAAGCGACTGCCTTCGGCTCAGGCCATGATCCTGGAGTCCCGGGATCGAGTCCCGCATCAGGCTCCCTGCTCGGCAGGGAGTCTGCTTCTCCCTCTGCCCCTCCCCCCTCTCATGTGCTCTCTCTCATTCTCTCTCTCTGAAATAAATAAATAAAATCTTAAAAAAAACACAAAAACCATTTATATAAGGACTTACAGTTGAAGAGAATTACTTTTCTCTATAAAACTGTTGCAACATCATTTAGACCTATTCTCAGTGCTATATAGCAGCCTCTTTGATGCAGCCAGATTCTTTATAATGGTTCCATATTTCAGGGAAACTATGACCAAAATTTGAAAAACTTCTAGTAAGGATTTCCAAGAGGCTATACTCCTGTAGAAAACAGTCAAATCAGACTACATAAAGAATTTTTTTTCACCAACACCCATAATTAAATATAAAAGTTCACCTTAGACTTGAAGGAGAAAGACAGAATTGAGAATGTGTTCTTTTAAGTCTTGAGGGATATCAATCTGGATGCTTTTTAAATCTTTACCTATTGGCAGGGGTAGTATAAACTACCTATCATTAAAAGGTTGAATTTCCTTACTGATTTTTTTTCATTTCTAAATTTCCAGCTGATTTTTTCCTATGGTTTTTTGATAAGAAGTTATATTGAAGATTAGCTTTTGACATGAAAAGTTAAAGCTTCACAAGACCTCTTTATTTCACAGAACATGCAAGGGGGTACTAAACTCCATGGTCAGCTGGGCCATGGAGACAAAGCCTCCTACCGACAGCCAAAGCATGTGGAAAAGTTGCAAGGCAAAGCTATCCGTCAGGTGTCATGTGGTGATGATTTCACTGTCTGTGTGACAGGTAAGCCATCAACAGAAAGCGTCCCAGTGCTATTAAATGGGGTTTTGTACTTAATGCTGTGCAGTTTCAGTTGGGATTTTATAGCAAAAGATAGTATTTGAAGAACCGAAGACAGCAGATATACACATTAATAACAACATCCCCAATTTGCTGTAGTATTAGGGTGGGTGATAAGCAAGGAAAGGCACGTGGATAACAGAGAAGAGGTGGGATCAGGAGAAATACGTTGTATGTTCCAGTGGAGGGGGAACGTAATGTTACCACCTCATCAGATATGGATAACACCAAATACAGGAATCAAGAGCTAAAGTTTGGGTGCCTGCGTGGCTCAGTTGGTTAAGCGCCTGCCTTTGACTCAGGTCATGATCCCAGGATCCTGGGATTGAGTCCTGCATTGGGCTCCCTGCTTGGTGAGGAGTCTGCTTTCTCTCTCTCTCTCTCTCTCTCCCTCTCCCTGCTGCTCCCCCTGCTTGTGAGCTGTCAGATAAATAAAATCTTTAAAAAAAAAAAAAGAGCTAAAGTTTAGTTTTTTTTAAGCCGTTTACATTTTTTTCCTCAAAATTTTCTCAAATTTTTATTTAAATTCTAGTTAGTTACTATACAGTGCAGTGTTGGTTTCAGGAGTAGAATTCAGTGATTCATCACTTCCATACATACCCAGTGCTAAAGTTTAGTTTTCGTCTTGCCCTTACTTACTTTTCCTTTTCTCTAGAAAATAGAGATGGCCACAGTAAAATTTCAACATGACTACCACTTTTTAAAAATTGTTGTAATAGTACCCGTGACCCCCTAAATAAAAGCAACTCTAGACTTGCACAGTGTGTCCTTTGGATTTCTCTGATGTAATCATTTGATATGAGATCCCTGGCTGGGATAGTCTCATTCTATCCCTGCCCAGCTTTCTGATTGGACAAAGTCATTCTTTTGATGGGTTATGCCTTCCTTCCTTTTGCAGATGAGGGTCAGCTCTATGCCTTTGGATCTGATTATTATGGCTGCATGGGGTTAGACAAGGTTGCTGGGCCTGAAGTATTAGAACCCATGCAGCTGAACTTCTTCCTGAACAATCCAGTGGAGCAGGCCTCCTGTGGAGATAATCATGTGGTGGTTTTGACACGAAACAAAGAAGTCTATTCTTGGGGCTGTGGCGAGTATGGTAGGTATAGCCTTGTTTCTGTCCGTTTATTCCCAGGAGCCAACTTGACTTCAAGCTTCTATGTCTCTAAACACATCATGTAGCTAGCCTGTACTTGAGAAGTGTTGATTCAGTAAGAGAGAATGTTACAGAACATTTTCATTGGGAAGGAGGACCTCATTTTAATGGTTTTCTTTCTTATGTGTGTCTCAGGACGACTGGGCTTGGATTCAGAAGAGGATTATTATACACCCCAAAAGGTAAACTCAGAAGCAGCTTCTTCCTAAACTAGGTCACACAGACTTCAGTAATAACACAGACTCCTCTTTCTCTGACTCCTCATGTCAGGGTGTTTATTTCTGAAATATTTTCTATCTGGGAGACTGACAATCCAGAATTCCTGATTTAGCACTATGTGGCCTTGTCATCTGACTAAATCATAAGTAGTCGAGAGAGAGGATACAGCCATTGTGTACACTCTGGAGTCACATTTTCCTCAGGAATGAGAGCTGAAATCGGCATGTACCATGAAAAAGTCACATCAGCTAAATACACCCCAGAAAATTCCTTGGGAAGACACTGGAAAGCAATATATTATCTCTTTACCCAATGCAGCCATTTTCCCCTCTGATTTCCACAGTTGAACACCAGATGAAATATGTGTTTGTTTGTATTTAGGGGTCATGTTGTATGAAACAGAATATCTAATTACTCTGAGCCCTGCAGGAGCTAGCTCGGGAGCTGAAAGCAGCTGCAGGAGAGCGTGGTCATCTGGCTCTCCTGCCCACGGGAAGGTTGACTGTAATCAGCTATACCATTCACTGTTAACTATGTTTGTTTACGTTTAAAAAGTTAACTTGTATTGGGCGCCTGGGTGGCTCAGTTGGTTAAGCGACTGCCTTCAGCTCAGGTCATGATCCTGGAGTCCCGGGATCGAGTCCCGCATCGGGCTCC